ATTTGAAGGGGGTGATATATCTTTTGATGTAGATTCAGAATTTTGTGATTCTTGTTGTGGTTGTGATTGTTGTGGTTGTGTGATGTTGTGGTTGTGATTTTGTTGATCTGGTAATGAGGCTTGTTCAATAGTGTTAATCGTAGTTGGTTTTACAGGTTCAGATAATACAGGGGCTTGAGGTTGTTTTGGTGATAATGGTTGTTTTGGTGATTCTTGTGGTGGATTTTGTTGATGGTGGTGTGGTTGTTGATGGTGATGTTGTTTTTGTTTATATTGAAGTCTCTCTGAAGACTTTTCTTTATATAATGATGGGTTTGAATTTTGTCTTTCAATCTGTGGTCTTTCTAAAGAAGATCTTTCTGATGGTGGTCTTTCGGATGAATTTCTATTATCTCTAGTATCCCTACTATCCCTGCTATTTATTTGTGGACCTTTCAAGTGAAGATATTCATCTTTACTATTTGATCTTGATAAAATTGCTTTTGGAATATTTTCAGATGATGGGTGTCTGTTGAACGATGGTGGTTGATATTGATTATTATATTGTCTATGTTCTTGTGTATTTTTTTCATGTGGGGTCCATCTACCATCGTTTTCATTATATCTATTTTGGAAACCACTTCCAGTTTGATATTGACCATGGCTGTGTGGATGACCACCATGTGAATGACCGCCATGTGAATGTTGATGATATTGATTATGTTGTGTGTGGTGTTGATTATAACCATGTTGTTGTGATTGTGATTGTTGTGGGTGTTGGTGATGATGGCTATGAGATGTTTGGTGTTGTTCACTTTCTCTAGAATCAATATTTCTATTATCTCTTGGGTCTACAATGGTTTTATTTTCTCTAGAGTCAACAATATTTCTATTATCTCTGTTATCTCTGTTGTCTCTATTATCTCTATTATCCCTATTATCCCTATTATCTCTATTATCTCTAAAATCAACATTTCTAGTGTCTCTCATATCGACATTTCTGTTATCTCTTGAGTCATTTCTAAAATCGGAGTTTCTGTTTTCTACTCTAACATCACTTCTAGTATCATTTCTAAAATCACCTCTGTTATCATTTCTATTGTAGTTATATGGTTGTCTTTGGTCACCACTATATTGACGGTTATGAGTTGGCTGTTGATTTCTATTATCTCTTTCGAATGAATCATTTCTATTATAGCCAGGTATTTGCTGACCTCTACCATCTCTTGAGTTATAACCCTGTTGTTGTTGTGGTGGTGGTTGTTGTCCCCTATTAAAGTATGATTTATTATAGTCTTTTTGTTGAGCTTGTTGATGTCTTTCTTGGCGTTCCTTTTCTTGTTGTTCTTTTTCTAGTCTTTCTTTTTCCAAACGCTCTTTTTCTAATCGCTCTTTTTCTAAACGTTCTTTTTCTTGCTTTTCTTTTTCTAATTGCTCTTCTAGTTCTCTAAGTTTCTTTTTGGCATTTTCTTTTCTTTGTTTTTTCTTGTTCATTATATCTTTCAAGTTTAAACGAATT